GGTGTATGATGAGTGGTGTATGATGAGTGGTGTATGATGAGTGGTGTTTGATGAGTGGTGTTTGATGAGTGGTGTATGATGAGTGGTGGTTGAACAGCTGTTGGATGTCCGTAACACGGAAGTTTTGCACACTAAACTTCCTTGGATAATAGATCCAACCTCCAACCCGACTAAAAAGGGAACCGCCTTGTTTTCTTCTTACTGCAACGATGTTTCTATCTAGGGTCTATGCCGGTGTAAAGACAAAGATCGAAGCCCGCAAAGGTTTGTTCGAGAAAACAAACGACACATCCTCTCCTCCTGGGATATCTCCGCCATATCGACGCCCTGATCATGCCAACGACGCACGCCGCCGGAAATCTATATGCCAACAACTTGAACAGAAATATCATGGTTGCCACGAAGCCTGGAGGGGGCTGATGCTTCGTTTTGGCCTGCTAATGTGTGTTTGTTTATTTTTCCTGGGTTGCGCGCTTCTTTTTGCTTTTGGGTCCGCGGGCTCACCTTGTTTTGGTCATAGTTTTCTCAGGACCAGGCTGAGGGACCACCGCACGAGGCGCGGACATTGGAAGAGAGGCCACACGGGTCCATGGTGTTGAAAGTGGAGTAACCTTCAGCAGACCTGACCCTCGGTTTGGTTTCTATCGTCAAAGATGCTGTGCAAAAAAGGAGAGGGGGATCCACCATGAGCCACCGAGCCACCCTGTTCGAGTTGTTTTGCTTGGTGTTTTGTGGTCTTTTGGAAGTCTGTTCCTCGCAAATGTGTGCACTGTTATATGCAGTGCTTCATGGAAGATGGAAGTCCGTTCATCAAGAAACTACTTTCCTTGATAGGAGCGGGTGTTCCACTTCAATCGTGGTTGGAGGGAGGGTATCAATCGATTCTCCAAACCGCTCGTGTGGACTTGAATTATGGCCAAGACGACATGGGAGATGAAAGGCCGAGAGGAGATGCCATCGAGAGGAAGGAGGAAACAGGAAAAGGAAGATCACAGGGCACAACAACTTCTAAATCGGATCGCGACAACCTCCAAAAGAAGATCACTGGAAAAAGGAAACACATCAAAGCGTGAATAATCACCTAGGCAAGGAAACGTATCAAAGCAGATCGCAACGGCTGCACGGGTCGAATCAGAGTTTTTCGACCATGAACGGCTTCGAAGTCACGGTTTCTCCTTCGATCCATCATCTTATCGTATATCTGTTTTCGCCCTGCGATCGAGCTTCTCCTCAAGAACCTTCATCTGGATAGTGATCTGATTTTGGAGGCGTGCTGAGGAGTCTGATGTGCTTTGTCCCCTGCCGAACTGGATGCGGATCCATCATGCGCATTTGGAAACACAAAACGTAGGATTCGGGCGACCGGGAGACCAGGATGCCCAAACAATCAAGCGTTCTCGGCTTCCCATGCCCGCATCAGGCGCCGGTGAAACCTCCACTGGAGCGGATCGGAATGACAACCATTGCATGGGTGTTCGGTTCTTTACCTCATGCCATTGAGCCAGGTTTGTTGGGAAACTTCTTAAATAAAGATTTCTGTGTTTGATAAGTGTTGATATCAATCGCTTCATTCATGAAATTCACTTTACGGGTCCGGGTCGATATACGGGTCGATCACAGAGATTCCAGTTCCTTGCCACTTTTCCACGCGCAAAATTCAATCCATTCCGGGATCGGCAAGAACCGAGTGACGCAACTGCTGTTGATCAGCCAGTGTTGCAGGCGTTTTAGGTTTTTGAATCAGATTGTGTTATTGTTAACTGTTTTGTTGACTTAACAAACCGGTTGATTCCCTCGACCATCAAAGCTTCGAACATTTTGACGAAGGAAGGATGACGACGAGAATGACCAGAACCGGCGCAGTTGCAATTCTCAGTGTTTGATCACCCAGGGATGATCAAATTAGCATATCGCCCGATATATACCATATGCGAAATGTAGATTCAAGACGATGCGCACGAGGTAAGATTTGTTCTAAATTTGGCCAGATTAACTATGATGAACTGATGAACTCACTTGCGACAACTTTCCCGTGGGAGGGGAACTCGACTGTCTTGGGGCGGCCAAGGCCGAAAGGGCACGCAAAGCGATGGGCCGCGGATATAAGGTGATTTTATTTACCTATAGTTAAATCATGTTAAATTCCCTTCTGTGGAATAAGACAGCATTCCGGAAGACGCCTCCCCAGGAGCTTGCCTACCAACAGGTTGCAGAGACCAAACATTCCCAAGGCTGCGTCCATCCATCCTAGCACCAATTTTACGGGGCGCGCGCGCGCTTTGCAGGCGCCCGCCGATGTACAGGTGCCCGCTTTGCAGGTGCCGGCGGGGGCTGCGACTTGCCATGGTTGGTTTGGGACTGACTCCTGACATTTGGGCAGGGTGTTGTCTTGATCCTTTTTCGGATTTCCATTTGCCCTGATATGCCCTGACTATAGATGTCAATGTAAGTGGAACGACGCAGCATGTACATATGTACAGCATATTTCTGCCAACGGCCTTTGGCTCAAGACTGCGCCTTGAGGAGAAAAGTAGTTGCGAGTTGCTTATTACTTCATGGTCGCCGAATAGCCTGTACAACTGTCGGGTTGTTAGGTTAATATCCACTCGCAGGTTATCAGCCGTAACCGCTCAAGGTTACGAGCTTGAAAGAGACCGAAAGAGAAGATTGTCGACGTTTGACCTGCAATGTCTAGTTCCGGAGGAAAGAGCAGTGAACAGCTTTCCTTTGCCGCACCTGCAGGCGCTATGTCTCAATCGTCGCCAGGATCATTGACTGGTGCGAGTTCAGCAGAAGCTACAGTAATGACCATGCCAACAGGATCACAAGTATCCGGTGAAGGCAGAGTCGCTCCACCGGAGACGACATCTGCTGGATCCGACACGAGAATGGGCAACGCAAAGAGAACGTTGAGAAAGTTTGTGAGATCAACATCACCAAGAATGATTTCAACTAGATCACCGAAGAGAAGCATCAAAAGAGTTGAGAATCGAAGACGCAAAAGGTAGTGAAGAACGGGAGGTCCAACTCATCCAGCGATACGCTTGGCCAGAGTTTCGTACCAATATCTGAACGATGAATACAGTTGCTTGCATGACGGCTATGCAAGACTATATTCTGAATCCCAGGAAGAATTTTCGCAACGGACAAGATACAACAAGTCCATGCAGAATCACCGACAAGAGATGGTACAAGAGGATGAAGGAGTAACTATCATAATTGAAGAACTGCAAAGAAAGCTCCGTCTCGCTGAACCGAATGGCAGATCACATCTACTCCAAGTACGAGGAACTTGCCAGAGAAAGCCACGAAGAACGTTCGCAACTTGATGAAGTTCGATCCAAGATGGGAGATATCACGAAAGGTAGCCCTTTAGGGGATACCTTGAGTTTGTCTTGCGAAGCAAGTGTTGGCGCGTCCGGGTCGAATAATTGATCGCTCAATTCAGACCCCCCCCCTCGAATTTATTTTTCAACACAAGCCCCCCCCCCCCCCCCCCTTGGAATGGTGTTTTCCCCCCCCCCCCTCCCCCCCGCTAAATTCAATTCTCTCCTGGAGAACGTCTTTGTGAGCCTCTCGTGATTTCAGGATAGTTGAAACCCTCTTGAACACCCAGAAAGAGTGCATCGCGAAAGGTGTTCCCCGAGGGGATACATACCTAGAGTTTGTTTTGTGAAGCACGTCAATTCTCTCCTGGGGAACGTCTTCGTGAGCCTCTAATGGTTTCAGGATAGTTCAAATCCTATGATGCTCCGATTCAATGCTCACCAATGATCTGAGTCATGGGGCAAGTTTGTGCCCGAAAGCACTGCGAAGGGTTCTTCCGGAAAATCTCTTGAACACTGACACTTCTACACTTACACTTACACACTTGCACTTGAACACTGACATTTCTACACGTACAGTTGGACACTTACGCTTCCACACTTACACTTGAACACTGACACTTCTATACGTATCCCAGTGTAAGTGGAAGAGTGAAAGCATCCAACGGCAAGTATTCCAAGTGCAAAAGTAAAACTTGCACGGGAGATGTCCTAATGAGTATGCAAGTGTGAGTGTGGAAAACTTGCACGGGAGATGTCCTAATGATAACTTGCACGGGAGATGTCCTAATGAAAAACATTTCCCCACTTTATAAAATCTCTCTGAAAGGCGGAGGGTGGGACAAACAGCGTCAACCGAAAATGCAACCCTTTGGAGATCGTGCGCGTCGTGTGCGCGAAATGCAGGCGAGAGTGCGATTTGGCCTGTTCCCGCGCAACCCTCTGCGGAGATCGTGCGTGTCGAGTGCGCGAAATGCAGGCGAGAGTGCGATTTGTCCGGTCCACGCGCAACCCTCTGCAGAGATCGTGCGTGTCGAGTGCGCGAAATGCAGGCGAGAGTGCGATCTGTCCGGTGTGCGCGCAACCCTCTGCGGAGATCGCGCGTGGTCGAGAGTCCAATAGAGGTCGCTGCGACCGGCCCGCGTGAGTTTCAGCACAAAATTCGGGTGCGTGCTGGGATCGAGCTCCCCCAAATTTATTTGACGCACGCACTCCTCAAGACAGGATCCATCTTTAAATTTGGCAGAAACGTTGGTCTGCAAGAACTCAATCTTGTGCTTTCAGCACAAAATTCGGGCGCGTGCTGGGATCGAGCTCCCCCAAATCTATTTGACACACGCACTCCTCAAGACAGGATCCATCTTTAAATTGCAGAAACGTTGGTCTGCAAGAACTCAATCTTGTGCATTGCAATGCGGTGGAGCCCATTGACCAAATCCAGGGCAATTGCCCTTGGCGGAAGGACAACAAGGACGTTGCTAGACATATTTTCGGGGAATCTTTTCCGTATACACAGGCTAGTCGCGAGCTGAGCAGAGAGAGCGCGCGAAGATATAGGCAATGGCTGCTGCGTGTCACCTGAAGCTACTTGTGCACGTTTTTGTTTTTTGGGACAGTCGATGAGAAAATGACCAGTATAGTGGTTGGTGAACTACATCTCAAGTGAAGAAAACGTTACCTGGAGAGCGGTGTGGCTGCTATGCATTTGTGCGTTTTGCATAGCTTACCTTTTGGTGCTCAAAGTGAGATTGCGCAAGTCTCCATAGAACTTGGGCCAGCTAGCGCCAGATCGTAGCCAGGAACATAAAGCAAGTCAACAGCAATGGAGAATGTACGTGCAAGAAGTTTCAACACACCCCATAAGCTTCTCGTAAATATCGTTCACTATATCTACAGTGAAGACCTTCACCAGCAGCAGACATAGACACACACACACAGACAGGGACTCATACACACACACACATGACACACAGAGACCCACGCACTGCCTCAACTTACTCGGGCACACACACAGACAGAGATTGATACACAGACATAGATACACACATACAGAGACCCACACACCGCTCGCGGGTGGGGAGACCTTGCCGACGAACCGGGGGGTGAAGAGGCTGAAATGATCGAGGTTCTGGATCCTGTCACGGGTGAAACGACCTTGATCCCCAAAGCTGATTCGTCCTTTTATGACGCCGGGGGATACAAGGCAAGGAAGTACAAGGGTTCTTCAAAACCACCTACAATTCCTCCCTTCCTTTGGAAAGCAGCTTCCAAAGCTGAGAGGAAGAAAGCGATTGCCGAGTACGAGCTCGAGGAGGCTCGTAAGCGTCTTCTTGCTGAGAAGAGCAAACACAAGGCGGCTGTGGCAGAGATCGACAATAAATTGCGACATTACAAAAGTGGGGACATCCCCGCTGAGACGAAAATGGACGCTGCCTGGGAAGGTGTGCCACTGATGCCTGTTGAGCATGAAGAGAAACCACATGCACATAGAGAGAAAGCAATTCTGTATGAGCCATGGCTAAACGCCTTAGTGGCCAGGCCTGTAGGCCAGAAGGAAATCCGCAACACCCCAGATGCTCAACGCTCCTTGGACGTTGAGTGGGTGAAGCTGGAGTCCAAGCCCGCTTGGCTTTATGACAAGGTACGCGAGTGGGACGACGTGTCGTCCGAAGCTGTTCGTGCCAATGCCAAGGTTCACGTAGGCAACGTTTTCGAACTCTGTGTTGAGAAAGGCAGTGAGCTTCCAAAAGGTAATCACCTTACAAAGTACAAAGGTCGGACGGTGTTCCAAGGGAACAAAGTCAAAGATGAGTCCGACATGGTTGCCCTCTTTTCAGAGCTTGGATCGGCGCCGGCGAACATGGAGGCGGGCAAAGCCCTTGACTGCTATGGCAGTGCGCCTGGGAATAAAATCACCCAAGGCGACGGCAAACAAGCCTACACCCAGACCACTTTGAAAGGCAAACCGACCTGGATCAGGATCCCGAAGTACCGGTGGCCTAAGTCCTGGCACGGGAAATACAAGGATCCTGTCATCCCGCTTGTACTAGCTCTCTATGGTCACCCAGACTCTGGCGGGAGCGGCACTGCGAGGACTGCCTCGCCAAGGTCGGCTTCAAGGCCGTGCACCCTGAGCGCTGGCCATCGATCTTTTGGCATGACAAGTTGTTCCTTTTGTTAGCCGTCTATGTAGATGACTTCAAGATGGCCGGTCCGGAGTCCAACCATGCTGAGGGGTGGAAGCTCATTGGGACACATATTGACATGGATACCCCCGAAGACGTAGGTAGGTATCTTGGTTGTGACCATGTTGTAACGCATGGTGTTCAGATGTCCGTTGCAGATCACCCATTTGCACATGTTTTTGATCACAAGATCGAAGATCCAGCTAGTAAGCCAGCGGCCGCCGCCCGCCGAACGCAGGATTACTGGACTCATTTCCCCGAGCATGGCACGTTTGTACATCATCACGTTCAGCCACGTCGACGCTTTGAAATCAGGCCTGCGGGCGTTGAAGGGCTGTTCGACCCTGGTGATCTCAGGTACACTGAGTATGTTCCATGCACGGAGGGATCCGTTGCCAATGATGCGGGGGGACCATCCCACGTTTGGCACGACACCAAGATCGACCGACAACAGGGATTGCCCTTTTGGTGGACAGGGGAGACCTACTTCATCGACAGGTGCATTTCCGACCCCAAGATGGCTGTTGCAGCTGTCAAAAAGATAAGGGACAAGAGTCAGGCCAAAAAGGCCGCCCGTGCCCAAGGTTTCACATTCTTGGATCAACTTGAAGAAGACCAGGGATGCATGACCAAGCCGGTGACTCGAGTCGAATACGACATGAGGGGCTTTCTTCGTCAATGTCTTGAAAAGTATGAGAGCCTAGTCGATCACCCAGTGAAGTTCAAGACCGTGAGCACACCGTTCCACGACGACAAAATTGCAAGACCGATTGGTGACGAGGCAGAACGCTGGGGGGAACTCCAGGC